TCAAGTCAAATCTGCGTTTCCCATAGGAATGCATTGAAAACCATTTGATCCGTATCTGTTCTTTTCCGTCCATAGAAACTAATGGGAAGCTGCTATTCTGCCTTCGACCACTAGAGGGGGATATTTTGTTTCTTTTTTTCTTAGGTCAAGAGAGGTTCAGGAAAGGCAGGGAAAATACAGTCCAGGCAGTACCAGCCAGTCTGAAGACTCCCAATCCACTCTCTAAACGCTGGGAGGAGTGAGGAAGCAGACAGGCACCCTTTTCACTGGCCAGCTGTTAACTGAAAGTTCACATTTTGCACTTTCCCTGCCTCCCACGTGTTTTTTTTTAGTTCTTAACTCAAATCTAAGTACTTACGTCAAGTCAATATTTTCCTCTGACAGCGGTTCTTAAGTCAAAATGTTCTTAACTCAAGCTGTTCTTAAGTCAAGACCCCACTGTATCCTTTCTTGGATTCAGACTTGGGAACCATCAAGTTTTTCCTAACATTATATCAACTACTTTAAAATGGATTATGCTTGAAGATTGTTCTACAGGCACACCTGTTTTAAGATACTTAAGAGCACCTCCCATCTGTTTTACAGTATATATACCATCGTCCTGTTGTCCCTTGAGCAAGTTGTGGATACTGATAAAAGACTATATCATGTAGAGTATTGAATTACGGCATTTCTTTACTCTTTAAATTGGATTATGAAGTACTCTGAAATTATGAGATATTTCAGTTATAATAGTTAAAAATCAGCTGGCTGGATGACTCAGTGGGTTAAGTACAGTGGTGCCTCGCATTACGATGTTAATTCGTTCCAGCGAAATTGCTGTAGAATGAAAACATTGTAAAGCTATTTTTAAAAGCCCATAGGAACGCATTAAAACCCGATTAATGCGTTCCTATGGGCTTGAAACTCACTGTCCAGCGAAGATCCTCCATAGCGCAGCCATTTTCGCTGCCCGGGCAGTTAGGAATCTGTCCCAGAAAACAGCGGGTGGCCATTTTTTTAACCCGGTGGCCATTTTGAAACCGCCGATCAGCTGTGTGAAAATCTTCGTTTTGCGATAATCGGTTAGCGAAGATCATCGCAAAGCGAAAAAAATCCATAGAAAACATTGTTTTGCGATCGCTTTTGCGATCGCAAAAATTTCATTATGCGATTTCTTCGTTAAACGAAGCACTCGTCTTGCGAGGCACCACTATATCTGGCTACGGAGCCAGAGGTTGGGAATTCGATTCACCAATATATTTCCAGGGAGAAGAGCCAACCTACATAGCCATGGACACACTGCGTAGTCTCCAAGTGCTCCTCAAAAAACAGGCATGGTCAACTATTTCTGAGTGCTGTATTCTTAGAAAACCCTGGAAAAGGGTCACCATAAGTCAAATTGACTTGATGGCACATAATTATTATTAATTAAAATCAGTCTACAGTATTTGTGTGATACTTAGCTGTCCTCAAATTATTTGCATGTCAATTCTCTACATCTTGAGAAGATTAGGAAGAAATACAGGAAGATAAGAGATTTGTAAAAATATCTGCTTTCTCCTCACCTGATCTGTTACAGCAAGGCTAGAATGAATGGTTATAGAATAACCAGAAACAGTTGACTGCCTGTACTTGGAGAAAAATTAACTGTTCAGTATAGGTGATTTATTTTCTTGTAACTATTAGATCAATTCACTTGCAAAGCCTTTTCTCCTGAAAAATTGGTTGTTCTTGAAGCTGTTCAATGGAATTCCATAGTATTTAATTTGAAAATAAATCAGGCATCACGATCAATTTTAATAGAGCTAACTGAAGGATTGCCTTTCATGTGCATAGGATACTGGGACATTTTATTGCATTAAGTCTGTAACTTCAGCATTTTACAGCTGATAAACTGGTTGCCACTTCAGCAGGCCTTCCTGTAAAAGTCCTTTTAAATTTTCTTCTCTTTTGTAGTGCATTCAACGTCCAGCTACTTGCATTGAGGTTTTATAAAGTTGGAAATCTAGATGCTTGCCAGTACAGTGGTGCCTCCCTTAGCGATGTTAATTCGTTCCAAAAAAATCGCTGCTAAGCGATTTCATCGCTAAGTGAAACGCGGTTTCCCATTGAAATGCATTGAAAACCGGATAATCTGTTCCAATAGGAACGAATTGCTGTCCTTAAGCGAAAATTGCCATAGGAAACATTGCTAAGCGCAACGCGGTTCCCCAATTGAAATGCATTGAAACCTATTCAATGCATCTCAATGGGGGAAACATACAACAACAAATTAAAAAAGAGTCAAAACAAAGTCAAATTTGGTTAACAAAGGGTTTATTAAGTGCACTTTATGATTTTAAACATTTTAAACAGTAAACTTTAACTTTATAAATAACAGAAAAACATTTTAAAAACAGCAAACATGAGGCTGTTTAAACCATCGTTAAGCGAAACAGGGGACCCAAAACTTAATCGCTATGCGAAGCATGGTCCCAACCATCACTAAGCAAAAATCACCCATAGGGACCATCGCTAAACGAAGTGCAAAAACGCTCTGAAAAAGTTGTCGCTAAGCGATTTCATCGCTAAACGGAGTGCCCGTTAAGTGAGGCACCACTGTAATTATGCAAAGCTCTAGTCCTGATGTATGAATTGTTCTCTCCTTTGAGAAAATGCATGTAGGGTTTATAGATAAGTCTAGATGTGAGCTGCTAGAGTGCTTCTTGTAACCTGATGCAAGCACCAGGACAGATAATGTGGGAAATGCTCCAGGACTGCCAGTTTGGTGGTTCATGTTGGTTCGTTTTGTGGCTGCACAGGTGTTCTGTGCTTCAAAGCCCTGCTTTCCCCAGCGGGCACCCACTCAGAAGCAGGAGCCTGACTTCCCTACCTCACCTTCTCCAGGCGCTGCATCTGAATGGGTGCCCACTAGAGGAGGTGGGGCCTTGAAGCACAGAACATCTGTTCAGTTGCTAAACAAACCAGCATGGACTACTGATTTGGAGGTTCGTGCCTGTCACTAGCTGGGAAACCTGACTTCCCAGGTGTGCCTTCACTGTGGATCCATTCACATTTTCCCCCACTATGTAGTAGTGCCCTAATTTCTTAGACCTGATTTATGTGAACCTGGCAACACTTCTTTTTCATCATAATTAACTAAGGAATGGTTGCAAACATACGTGTGTGTTTAGAGAGATAAATGACTGTGTGAACTTGTTCATGCTTAATAGAACACAAGGAAAAAGTAGATTTCAGTTATCTGATATCAAGAACTATCATGCCCACATGTTTCTTCCTCTTGTGTGCTTTTGCTCAAGAGTTAGGTAGTTTCTTAGTCTAGTGTTATATCTGAACTACAGCTTGATTAGAATCCTAACGTGCAAATTAGTTTGGGCTTCAATGCCTTTTTAACTCTTGTGCATGCCTGAAACATAATATGTGCAACAGGTTAAAGAAGTACATGAAGGTCACAAAATTGCCTTTTCTTTGGTGCAGTTTGGGTGTTGCTTTGGCAGACAAATGATTTTGACAACTTACAATATTCCAGTGGCAAAGCAAGGTGTATCACTAGTCACAGAGTGCTTGTTTGAGCTTCACCTTATAGGCAGTGTCTTTTAAAATGCCTGCCAAAAATACTGTCACTTATTAAATTTCTGCCTGTAGATACTATTCCTGAAAGGTTCCTACAAGTGTGTTCCTGTGAGTGTGCCTAGGCAGAAAGGCACACTCGTGGATTGGTGGCCTGAAATGAAGTAGTGAACCGTGGCATAAATGCAGTCAGATTTGGACTTGAGCCTGTATTGTTATTGTGTTCTGATGGGAAACTGAATAAAGAACTTTAATTTTTTTTAAGTTGTTTTGTAAGATATGTTTTTTTGTACAGTGGTACCTCGCTTGATGACGATAATCCGTTCCAGCAAAATCGCTGTAGAACGAAATTGTCATCAAGTGAAAGTAAAAAACCCATTAGAATGCATTAAAAACCGGTTAATGCGTTCTAATGGGTGAAATACCTCCATAGGGCGGCCATTTTTTGGTGTCTGTAATGCGAGGAATCCATCCTTAACACAGTGGGGAGCCATTTTGAATCCCGACGATCAACTGTTTTCTGATCGTCATTAAGCGAAAAATCGGTTCCCGAAGCAGGGAACTGATCATCATCAAGCTTTTTTTTCCTATGTAAACATCGTTTTGAGATTGCAAAAGTGATCGCAAAAATATCAAGCTTTTTTTCCTATGTAAACATCATTTTGAGATTGCAAAAGTGATCGCAAAAATATCATCATGAAGCGATTTCGTCGTGGAGCGGGGTGATTGTTAAGCGGGGCACACAATTTTGTCGTGGAGTGGGGTGATTGTTAAGCAGGGCACTACTGTAATTGGTAGTGAGGATATGCTAACTTGAACATCTGGCTTCAGTGTGATTGATCAGATATAGTAAGATTAATTGGAAATCAGTGTACACTGAGAATAGGAAGCCGCAATTTGGTGGGATTTGATAGCCACTCATTGTCTCTAGAGCAGCGAGTTTGGGTTTGTGTCAACCTCCTCCCTTGCAACAAAGCTTGTACATTTGAACTGACTGGGAGCATGCTGGCGTGCACGCATGTGGTGGCGTTCGCAGGGGCTGGAGATCTGTGTCCAGGGCCCAGTTCTGCCTAGGCCACTGGTTCTTAACCTTGGGTTACTCAGGAGTTTTGGACTGCAACTCCCAGAAGCCTTCACCACCAGCTGTCCTGACTGGGGTTTCTGGGAGTTGCAGTTCAAAAGCATCTGGCCTAGTTCTGCCTAGGCCATGGACCGCTGCCGGGTTGCAGACTGGGGGTTCGGGACCCCTGTTATAAGGGGAAGAATGGTTGACATGTTTATCTGTAGCAAATTCTCAGTACAGTATCTATACCAGTAAGATTCAGCCTGCTCTTATTTTGAGATTGGCACCTTCTGTGTTCATGTTGTTGCTGCTGGCTCTTAAAACACAGGATTTTTTCCCATAGTAAACTGATAGCTTGCATGTATTGCCTTCCTGATTTTTTCATTGTGTATTCATTTGTGTAGGTGCAAGAAAACTCACCAGGACATAGAGCTGGGTTGGAACCATTCTTTGATTTTATTGTTTCTATTAACAGTTCAAGACTGGTAAGTTAATTTTGGAATTAAATGGTAGATGGTTGATTTTGAGGTCTCTCTGAGAGTCCAAATTCAAATTTAATTGTGTTGCTTGATATATAGATATAGTTGCTGGTGTGATCTAGAATGCTGTAACAATGTGAACCTAGATTTAGACTCATGATAGGTCAAAAGGAAGATCAGATTTAAGGATGGGAAAGTGGGACAAATTAAGTGAGCTGATAGGTGAAGTATTTGGATATCACGAAAAAATAATCATTTAAACAAGCCAAACTTCACAAACAAAAAACGGGGGTACAGGTTATGGTTTGTAAGAGACTAACAAATCATTTGTGACTGACTAGCAGGCCACAGTTTGCAAGCAGAGGCACCCTGTGAAATGTTAGCCAAAAAAAAAAAACTGTGGCTTCTTGTGACATACAAATACAGTCAATAGCTCTGAATGGGCTTTTTTGTCCTTCTGGAGGAGGAATTGCAGAACGGAAGCACCTATACAGTACTCCTGTTTTCCTATTTGTGTGAAAGATGCCTGAAGAACCTTGGGCATATAAGAAGCAGAATATTGATCCAAATTGGCAGAGGAAAATCTATGCCAGCAGGACAAGGCTGCATGATAACCCGGATATGAATTCAGATGTGAAATCATATCTTTCTCCTTTGCAAAAATTAAGTTTCATCATGTAGGATGTAAAGATGCACATAACAGGTGGAAAAACTGGTTGGATCAATATTAAGTAGATTACAATTAATTCCCATCAAAAGATTTGTCTTATTGAAATCATTGGGACCTCAATTCAGCTAACTTCATCTAGATCTAATCAAGTATTTTATGGACAACTTTTCTTACATTATGTCTGGGTCACACTTGGAATATGTCTATGACAGTCAGAATTTATAAACATAAAAAAGTTTAGCTCATAAGGTCGTCAAAGTGAAAGTGCTTCAAAGATTGTAACTTTTTTTCCCCATGCGAACATAGAAGAAGAATACGTATATGACAAACTTCTGATTCCAGGTTACTTCAATAGTAAAGCAGGCAAAGATAATCCAGCAAGTATTTGGCACGAGTATAATTCTTCTAGTGCTGCAGAATACCTCCAGTTGCACAAATGTGCTGTTTGGTTTCATTATACTGTGCCATCACCTTAGTCGGCACATTACTGTATCTGATAAGTAGGGGTTCTTACGTCTAATCAGTGTCAACTACTTGTCTGTGAAGAACCCAGTTCAAAGCTCATCCCTGCTCCATGTTTGTTCTACAAGGTGTTTTGAAATGCTGTTCACAAGGTTAAATGAAGTCTGTAAATTATTCCTTTATCCTTTTCCTAGAATAAAGACAATGACACTCTCAAGGATTTGTTGAAGGCAAATGTGGAAAAGCCTGTGAAGATGCTAGTATATAGCAGCAAAACTCTGGAGCTCCGAGAGACCTCAGTAACTCCCAGCAACATGTGGGGTGGGCAAGGCCTCCTGGGGGTCAGCATTCGCTTCTGCAGTTTTGATGGGGCCAATGAGAACGTCTGGCATGTGCTGGTAAGACAGATATCAGTCACTACGAAACAAAGCTGGGTCCTCAGATCCCTTGATGTCATTTACACATGCCTGGTTGTGGAAAGCACTGCACTCAGAGCAATTCATTGAAAATTGTTGGTCCACCGTTCCATGCAGTTATCACCTATTCCATTAATTGGCATAGGGAATAACTTCTCTGTGAGTTCTACCCACTTCCTTTATCTCACTTTCTTCCCTGAGAACAATTCTGGATCAGTAAAACCAGAAAGTTTTCATTTTACAATTCAGCATATTTCCAGACCCAGCAAACACTCTGTGTGCTGAAATGGGTTTAATTTGTGGTTCTGGTGGATAAAAGCTGTTGTGGAGAAGCTGCAGGTAGCACCTAACAGAGCAGTTTATGTGCTATTACTCTTTGTAGGATTTTCCATGCACCCACCTGCGTAGTAATTTGTACTTTTGGATGTGTTTTTTGTGTGCTTACGATCTTAGCTGCTCCTCTATATTGGGGTAAATTCTTGTACATTGTGTGTAGAGATGTAAAATGTCAAAAAATTAAAAAATTCCAGTGTATCCAGAAAAATGTTTTCCAGAAATTTTCTTTTTTTTTTCCCCTTGGAAAAAACGGGAGGGGGGACTTCTTTCTGGAAAAAAATGGAAAATTTTGGAAATTTTGTGCCTCAAGTTGTGTGTATTGTTAGAGAAACCTTTGAAAAATATCTACCAGTAGTTTTGGTTAATTCAGTGAGAAATTCAGCTTTTGTCTGGTGCAGCTCTGTGATGTCTAACGAAATATGTTTTTAAAAAAATCTGTCAAGGTAACAGTACAGATGTTCAGCCTTTTTTTCACCTTCCTATGGGCAAGTGTGTATTACTAACTTGCAAGTTAAAAGCTCTGAAGGAGTTACAAGTGAAAGATGAATGGAGAAAAGGAGAAGGGAGGAGAGGAGAGGGAAAGGAAAGAAAAGACACAGAGAAACATGGATATATGGTAAAGGTTCTTTTGAACCAAAGGCAGGCACTGTCTTCTGTATTTTTTCTGACTGAGTTAAAACTTCATTATGTTCCATTTTTTTTGTTTTAAAACTAGGAAGTTGAACCGAATTCTCCTGCTGCACTTGCTGGTCTTAGACCTTACAGTGACTACATTATTGGTGCAGACACCGTCATGAATGAGGTAAATGTCTGTTTCAGTGATTAAAGAACAAAGGCTATTTTAATTGAAAGGCATATTGCTGTTCCAGGGTGGCACTTGTAGAGTTCTATTTTAGAATAGATAGACATAAATAGGAATTCCTATTTATAGATAGAAATAGAATTAAATAGAAATACAGTGGTGCCTCGCAAGACGATGTTAATCCGTTCCGTGGAAATCGCCGTCTCACGAAAACATCATCTTGTGAAACCAAATTTCCCATAGGAATACATTGAAAATTAATTAATGTGTTCCTAGGGGAAAAGATTTAAAGGGACTTAAGGGGTAGGGAGCTGGGGAAGCACCATGGGAGGACTGGCGGGGGATCCCCTTGCCATGATTGCCGTCTTTGGAGATCCCCTGCCAGTCCTCTGATGGTGCAGGAAAAGCCTCCGAAGTGCTCTAAAGCCGGTGGTTTCAGGGCATCCCCGCCAGGGCTCTGATGGTGCAGGAGAAGCCATCAGAACCCTGGCAAGGGTGCCCTGAAACCACGCACCCCGACTTTGGGGGTCCCCTGGGGCTTACCTTGCACCATGGGAGGACTCGCATGGGTCCCTCTGCACAGCGATCGGCGTTTGCAGAGGTTTGTCCAAAACCATTTTAAAAGTTCCCTCCTCTTTCTCCAGCCTTCAGCAAGCCTCGGAAGGGAAAAAGAGGGGGGAAAGTGCTCTAAAGCAGGCGTTGGTGGTCGTAGAGCGAAAAAGCCCCATTGGAACCATCATTCCAAAAAAAACATCGTAAAGTGATTTCGTCATCAAGCGGGGTAACTGTCTAGCGAGGCACCACTTTAAATAGGAATACATACAGAAAGATCAGGACCACACTCACCAGAAAGACCTCTGTTAACGACCGTCAAGGGCCCATGACAATGGGTGGAGAAGGACTGCAAAAGTGGAATTATCCCTCAACCCCACCCCACCCACCCCCGTGCTTTATCCTTCTAACAAGCCTATTCAGACCAAGGGGAAGTGCAACCAAGGTGGAGGATATATCAGGGGTCTCCCACCAACTCTCCTGAGACTAAACAAGCTACTTGGATGAGTAGCAAAACGTTTCAACATAATAAGAAAGAAGTCCAGTTGCCATGACTCAGCTTCCAGATAACCTAACCTGGAGGATTGAGAATCTTCACAGATACATTATCTGAAGAGCTAGTGCTTTGTGATTTCACAGCATTCAGAATCTAATTTTATTTTGTCTGCAATGAGTGCTCAGTTCTAAACTTCAGAAGCATCAAATACTGTTTTTGGATGATAATAGATCTGGTGTATTGAGGTGCCAGCTTGGGTGTCTGTCATATGAGTCCACTAAAATATTCTTTTTTCTGTAGTCTGAAGACTTGTTCTCCCTTATTGAAACACATGAAAGCAAGCCATTAAAACTTTATGTATATAACACGGATACTGATAATTGTCGGGAAGTGGTTATCACACCAAACTCTGCATGGGGTGGAGAAGGAAGGTAAGATGATTTTCTGTCTAAGTGTAATATTTATAGGGCTTTTCTGCCTGGTACTATTTCTAGATATGTCCCACATATAAACAAATTGTGCTGATGGAGTGGCTGTCAGCTGTCTATCCTGGAAGACTGTTGAATATCCCAACTTTGTTTTACTCAGCTAGCCACCTATGTTAGCATTAACTTCATCAGTATTTTGGGAAAGTCTCCTGGATTCATTTAGGGCAGGGTTTTGAAAAAGATGGACATTTGAAATGTTAAAAAGTGAAAGGGAGCCTTGCAACTTACTTAAAAGGTGAATTGCAGGTCTCTGGGGTTTCCTAGACCAGCAATATCTTGCTATTTGGCCAAGAGCTGAGGGTTACACCTGACCCACCACTGATTGAGGGGAATATGGAAGGATTTAGATTATTTTAAAGTAACCAACTATATTGTAGCATCAGGTTTCTCTAGGATATACAGTGATGCCTCACAAGACAATAATTCGTTCCGCAAGTCGTTTCGTATTGCGAAAATTTAGTCTTGCGAAGCGCGCTTTCCCATAGGAATGCATTGAAATGTAATTAATGTGTTCCTATTTGTCTTGTGAAGCACGGCCATAGAAAAATTTGTTTTGTGAGTCACCAAAAAAATCGCAAAGCGCTTTCGTCTTGCGAGTTTTTCGTTGCGCAAGGCATTTGTCTTGCGAGGCATCACTGTATTGTTCACTATAAATCTTCATCCTGTATGATAAAATGTGTTATGAGCTTTGTACTGTGTAAAATAATGGTGCACTGGAAAGACAGAGGATTATAAATCTTGCTGCCTTTTTTCCTCTTCGGTTTTTGACTTAAAAAGTGATGGCATAAAGTCACTGATTAAAACATGCTAAGATCTGTTCTTTTTTGCCCCTCACAATGCATTGACATGTTTATGCAATTGTAATTGTGTAACAGCAACTGAAATTTATATTTTATGCAAATATAATTCTGTAACCGTGGTTGAAATAGTCAGTGGGCTGCATCTCTCTCAAGTGTTTTGCCTGTCAGGTAATCATAGACTACAGTATATTGAGTTCTACTTTAGATTACCTGAGTAAACTGTGTTCTTCAATCTGAATCTGTTCATGCCTGAAATGACATTTCGGATGCCTTCCTCCAGATTCCCCTGCTGAAATGAAGCAAGAGTAGTGGGAGACACAGGCCCAACACTAAAAAGGCATCGCATTCTAGAATGCTGTTGAGCCGTCACCAAACTTGAAAAGCTGTAGGTCAAGAATTTTTATACTCTTTCAGTCTGACCTCTGCCTTGTTTCTCTCAGAGGTTTTTAATAGCTTTACTATTTTTTTAAAAAAAAATTATAAGCTGCTTTGGAAACTCAGGTTCAGAAACTCTGGGACAGAAGCTTTCAAAATAACTATAAGGCTTTTCTTTGCATGGCAATGTTCTTGGTCTGTGTTGGCTTTATAACTGAAGCACAGCTATAGTTGCCATATGAATTCTGTGTAACATACTTCCCGAAAGGCAACTAAATTTCTGGGGCTGTAGTTAATTTCCTTTGATGTTTGTGTTTTTTAAAGCTTAGGTTGTGGGATTGGATATGGATACTTGCATCGAATACCTACGCGTCCTTTTGAAGAGGGGAAGAAGATCTCTCTCCCGGGACAGTTGGCTAATACTCCTGTTAGCCCACTCAAAGATGGCTTTACAGAGGTAAGTGATCGTGTGTTGTTAACTTTTGCCGGGTTCATGACATGTATGTATGTTGTGCTAGATCGTTACTAATCATTTTCTTCCATTGTGATGAATTCCACGGCGGTAGCCTTTCTTCAACGTGCCCTCTTTCTCTAATTAGGTCCAGCTCTCTTCGGTTAACCCCCCAGCTTCACTACCCCCTGGAACAACGGGAACAGAACAGGCCCTGGCTGGGCTTTCCATTAGCTCAACACCTGCTGTCCCTAATATGCTCAACACAGGTTTGCCTTTTCATGTAATCCTCTTATTGGTCAGCAGAAGACTAAGTGAAAAAGTACTTTTCCTCTGTTTTTTAAAAAATATATCATTAGGGGAGTGGGTAAAAGACAGGGCCCTGATATTACAAAGTGAGGTGTTGGCGGAGATGTACAGGCCCAGGGCTTGTGGCATCATCCTCTTTTTTAACAATGGCTGGAGTGACTGGGGTGAGTGGAAGTCCAAGGACAGGAGTGGACCGCCTCAGGTATTCCTTCCTGCCACAGTCCCCTGAGCCCCCAGCAGTGTGTAGAGGGAGGAGGGACCTTCAGGAATGCCATAGGGTGTGTATGTGCAGGGAGTCGAAGCTGGAAGAAGGAATGGGGAAGGTGGGCAGGCATTGTCATGAGTGCGAGTGTCTGTCTACTACGGCAGGGCATCTGTAAGCCCAAGTCAGTGTGACAGCATTGTAGAGATGTTAATGGGGAGCTAGTACCTTTAAAATGACTTAAAACTTAAGCCTTTTAAAAAATCACATGGTGAATCTTGTCCTCCCCATCCCCCACTGCTTTTTATTCTAAAACTACAACATGAACTGCAGTATATTCTTACAAGGGACATCTGCAACAAACTGTTGCACTGTGGAGTGCTGCCCTACCCAGTCTTCCACTTAGTCATATCCTCCCCCTCCATCCACAAATCTATTCCTGCTTCTATCCAGTTTTCTGTTTTCTCCTCTTCCTACCCACTCCTAAGCAGGATTGATATTTTGGCTATATCAGCCTTGGCGTTTCCCTCTTTGGGAATAAGAGATAATTCTCTATTTTATCCCAAATCAGATAACTGTAAAGTGTTTTAAAGTGATCAAAATCAGAAGTAAACAGGGTGGCTTGTGGCACAAACAGTGGGGTGTAGTCCAAAATCTGCTAGTATCAGTCAAAATGCCTTATCGGTATCAAAGCAAAAAGTGTGCTGCTTATATACCGCTCCATAGCACTTTAAGCACTCTCTGGGTGGTTTACAAGTTAATTATGCAGGCTACAGATCCCCCCCCCCAAGCGAGCTGGGTACTCATTTTACCGACCTTGGAAGGATAGAAGGCTGAGTCAACCTTGAGCCGGCTACTTGGAATTGAACCTCAGGTCGTGAGCACAGTTTTGGCTGCAGTACAGCGGTTTAAACACTGCGCCACGAGGCCAACATAAATACAGGTGCTGGAAAAGAAGAAACTGAAACCTCTTAAGCAAATATAGAGGAGGAAGTTAATCACAAAAACAATATTTGCGTATAGAAGAAATATAGGATGCTTTGGCCTAGCAGTTAGAAACAAAACAAGAGAGTGACTAATAGAATTTTTGAAGCCAGTGGTTTGTTTAGCACAAGCACATGTTTCAGGCAACCTAAGATAATTGTTCACATGGACGTGAGTAATTAGCCAAAATTGAAATCAAATAGACTGTGTAATTGGAAGCAGAAGCTGGAGAAGCTCCAATTTCTCTGCAAAAAAAAGACCAAGAGCAGACTGTAGGTACTGACCTTGAACAGCAAATATAATAAATTGTAATAAAGTGGATAAATAACAGTAAAGCGATTTAATACAGTGCTGTCCCGCTTAACGATTACCTCGTTAAACAACGAATCCACTTGATGAGAAGGTTTTTGCGATCGCAAAACGATGTTTTAATGGGAAAAATTCACTTTATGATGATCGTTTCTCTGCTTCGATCAGAAAACAGCTGGCAGTTGCAAAATGGCTGCCCTCAGTGCAAAATGGCTCCCCGCTGTTTTCAGGACTTAATTTTCGCTGTACAGGCACCGGAAAATGGCAGCCCTATGGAGGATCTTCGCTGGACAATTAGGTATTTAGCCCATTGGAACACATTAACTGGTTTTTAATGTGTTTCAATGGGTTTTTTCCCCCCGTTTGATGATGATTTCGCTTTACAGCGATTTTGCTGGAATGGATTAACGTTGTCAAGCGAGGCACCACTGTATCAAAATATAATTTGTATAACATTCTTGAAGAATTTAAAAATTATATGAATAATGCATTTACCTTAAACAGTTCAGTCAACTGCAGACTGAAGAATTTTGGGTTATAACCAGAAATATTTTCAGGGAAGAATGTAAAAAGACCAAAAGAAAAACCTTAATGAATGTCTGATGAAACAAAATAGTTAATGAGAGAGGAAGGGGGGGAAGGTGTCAGAAGGATCATAATTTCAAATGCAGCTTTTTAGTGCATATAGGAAGAAGGAGAAGTGTCATAATAATCATTGCAAAGAAGTAGAGATAACCAAAAAAGATAAAACAAGCGATCTCTTCCATAAGACCCAAAGAAAACTTAAAAGTTCTGGGATGCTGAAAGATCAGTGGGGAGAATATTTATCAGATCACAATAAAATATAGAGAAGATGGAATCAGTATACAGAAGAACTACAAGTGCTGTCAATGGTCACCTTCATAGCTAAAAAATAATAATAGTGAAGAATGTGAATTGGTTAGAGAAAGGTGAGGAGTTATTTTGTAAAAGTAATTTTAGTTTTTAATAACACCCCCCCCCCAGAAAAAAAATAGATGCAGAAAGGGGTTCGTGCCGTATGGATGAAGGGTTCCTGGTGTAGTCTTCAGCAGCTTCAACTAGTATAGTCAGAGAGGAACCTTGATTTGAGAAGCCTGTGGAATGGTTGCCAGTCAGGGTAATTGTATTAGGCTTAAAGGATTGAATGTTTAGCTGGCATGTTCAGAGTGGCATGTGAAGCAAAGATTGGCATGCTTTTTCCTTAGGTGTTCCTACAGTACCATTACTGTCTGCCCAAGCAAGTCAGGCTCTTCCTCCGGGTAACACAGCACCTACATTGCCAGGTAACTGCTTGAATGAGAAGCCATAAAAATGCCAGAAATTGAATTTTTAAAGGGATGTATGTACAGTATGTGGTTTCCCCCCACCAGGAGAAGTGGAGTATGAAACTTTTGTTGCTCAGTGTGTAAGTACTTCAGATGTGTGCTTGCGTGTTACATAGCAACCAGTTTTGTCAATGTTCTAATGACAAAGGAAACCTAGATAATTATTTTTCCAATTTGATATCTTCCTGTAATACAGTTTTAAATGTTGTGTGCTTGATGTCTTAAGCTGGAGATAAATTGATTCTAATTAGTGTTGGCCACACATACCATATTTCTAATGAGAAATGTCAACCTAACAAATGGTTTTAATTATGTTCAAATAAATCTGTAGCTGCCTTTTTAAGTTACTGAGAAATGTAAAATCATAACTTAATATTAAAAAGGAATGATATATGTTTATAAAAAGTCCAGATCCATCAGGAATAATATGTGCTGAAAGTGTTAAGATCAGGGCACAGTCTTTTTAATCACAAGTGAAACTGCTGTATAAACATTGGCTTAGTTTTCTGGATTTGCTCTGTTTTTCACACACTTCAATGCCCGTAGGTCAACTGCTTTTTCATTTCTGTTGCCTGTTCTAGGTTTGATGCCTTTACCCACTGGACTTCCTAATCTGAGTAATATCCCAAATCTGAATTTACCTGCCCCACACTTGATTCCTGGTTCTGGATTAGCAGACATTGGGCATCCTGGTAGGTTTCTATAGATTTCTATATGGGCTTCTGATAAACTAGATCTACCAGATACAGTTCTGTGATTTCTGTCTAGTTTTTGTCATGATTTGAAAAACACAGTGATTGAATAGTACATGTATTTCTGACAGTAACATAACTTAGTGTTATGACACATAATAGGAAATACATCTATCGCTTTGTGTGTGCCAGGAGCACAACAATAAATAAAGCAAGCAAGCAGGATATGGCACTTGACCTAGAACTCAGCTTCCCGAGACTTTGAGCTTTGGGAGAGTATATTTCTAGTATTTATGCTTGAAAGTGCAGTTGGTTAGATCCAAGGTGTTCCTTCTGGAAATTTGAGTGACAGACTTCCAGAGCAAGCAGCTTCTAGGAAGAGCCACACTCTTCCTCCCTTAAGTCAGCAAGGGTGCGCTTACCTGGCTGCCACGCCACCCAGTTTGCCTTGCCAAATCCACTGGAGTTTCACTTCACACCAAAGTGCCAGGAAACTCGCAACATGGTTTAATGCAAAATACCGTTTAGAGACTGCAGATGGGCTTCAAAAGGAACCGTGCGCTTCCCCGCATGCCTTATTATAAAGAGTTAATGCAGTCCTTGCTATCCTTGCAGTTCTGAAACAGGTAAGGGAGGCTATCTGCAGCACATCTGTTGCCCATGTTTGTGCCAGAAGAAACGAGGGGAGAGGAGGTTTTACTAATTCTTCTGCCCCATGCGGTGCCCCATACTTGAGTGCGAAACTATGGTTTTTGTATTTGGTGCTCAGTCATAGAGGAATGAAGAGTAGTGCACCATACAATATAGCTCCAGGTGGAAACTAGTGGTCCAAAAAAGAGAGGAAAGATCCAGGTAAATAGGAGAGCTATTAAAATTGGACTAAATGAAGACTTCCCTTGTATACATGCAAATAAATAAGTTCCTTATTCCTTTTTTACTGGAGGTTGTTAATTTTATCATGGCTATAGTGAATCTTAGCAGTTCTAAACAGTGTTCGTGAGTTGTTTTCTAATTCATTTCCACCTTTTTCCAGCCAAGATATATCCTTCTCTCTCCTGTGTTTGTGCAAATTTATCAATTTAGCTGATTATCTAAATACCCGTAATACCAATGACATCTGTAATATATTTCAGCAGAGGTACAAATTGCTTGCTTTCTAATCATTCTCTTGAGTCCTTTGGGAGCAGATGCTGGATGAGATCCAGAAAGCTGTGGACACCAGGAAAAAAACGCTATTAGCACATCTCTTTGCATCTTTGTTAGCACTTATTAGCTTACTCATTTGTACCATGTGAATTGCAGAAGAGAGTGAGACATGATCCAGAGTGAGAGAAATACCTCCTCTTCATGGTTGGAGGATTCTAACCAGAGGGGTCTGCAGTGGGCAAAGAGTTGCAAAAGCTGGTTTTCACATGTGGGCATGGCTCCAATTGTCGATTCTCTTTCTAGCAGCACTTGGATAACTGGTTGTTAGAAGACATCACCATCCCTGTGTCGTGTAGCTTTACAGTCGCAGAGTTTAGTAAAGTGTCTAGAGAGTTGAAGGGACATGGTGGCGCTGCGGGTTAAACCGCAGAAGCCTCTGTGCTGTAAGGTCTATACATCTGCAGCTGTAAGATCGAATCCACGTGACGGAGTGAGCGCCTGTCGCTTGTCCCAGCTCCCGCCAACCTAGCGGTTTGAAAGCATGCAAATGCAAGTATATAAATAGGGACCACCTCAGTGGGAAGGTAACAGCGTTCTCTGTCTAAGTCGCACTGGCCATGTGACCACGGAAGATTGTCTTTGGACAAACGCTGGCTCTATGGCTTGGAAACGGGGATGAGCACCGCCCCCTGGAGTCGAACACGACTGGACAAAAATTGTCAAGGGGAACCTTTACCTTTACCTCGAAAGCATGCAAATGCAAGTAGATCAATAGGGACCACTTTGGTGGGAAGGTAACAGCGTTCCGTGTCTAAATCGCACTGGCCATGTGACCACGGAAGATTGTCTTTGGACAAACGCTGGCTCTATGGCTTGGAAACGGGGATGAGCACCGGCGCCTAGAGTCGAACACGACTGGACAAAAATTGTCAATTATTGTTAGAAAGTTGACAGATGAGCCCAAGGCCTTTTTCTCCCTGTCTGGACAGCATCCCCTCCTCTTCCTGCTGCTGCAATTCTGTCAACAGAAGCTGACCAGACTGACTGTGGCCTCTTGCTTGAGTTCTTGCCGCAGGAGAGCACCTTCCAATGTACAGGAGGGCAACAGGCTACCTTAAGAGAGACAGGACAGGACTGTGTGGCATGTCCTGAACTGTCCTCTGGCACCTTGCCACTGTTCCCCCCCCCATCTGTATTCTGAAGCAGCTGCTTGACACGAGCTGTGAATGGGAAACATCCAGGTTCATGGTTCACATGAATGTCTCATGTGGGCCCTTCTTTGTGCCTGTGCGTGTACACACCGCCCCACTCTCCCCTCCCCCCACAGCATGGAGGACGTTTGTACAGTGTTGGTTTAAAGCTATGACATGCTTAAAACCCAGTAATGGGCAACATGTACACAGGTATTTATCACAGTTTATGGACTGGAATTACTCAGCTAAAGGAAAAAAATGATGGTTAGATAGATACACAAGAGTCTGCTTTAAATGTGATGCATTTGTTTTCCCTTCTCATATTCTTAGGTTTGCCACCGCTCCCTTCCTTGCCTCCAATAAATCTCTCTGGAATTCCAAATCTGTCACCGGAATTCCTTGCACAGTTTCCCTTGGTCCCTGAGGTGTCCACCCTGCCTACAGATCTGCTCTCCTCCGGTCCTCAGATGGGGAGCCTCCCTGCCAAGCCTGCCGCTACTGTAAATGTGGAACAAACCTCTTCATTCAACCTGGATAGTGCAGCTGTTCCTGCTCCCACTACTGCTCTTTCTGCGACTGCTACAACGTCAACTTCCAGTACTCCTGCTGTTAACGTATCTAGTCCTGAAGATAGAGGAGATGGATCAACCACATTCAATGAGAAAACCACATTGTTGGTCACAGATACAGCTGTTTCTGAATCATCATAACTTCAACTGAATGATTGAATTGGGCTTGATATATTTATTCAGCTGTGGGGTAAATATGAAAAAATACAAACTACCATGGGTTTCATGATAGTTTGTGTTTTGCTGTTAGGATTGCTGTAAATATACTGAGGGTGACTTAAGAGCCTGGGATTTTTTACTGCAGGCTTGGTTTGGGTTAGGGAAAAGAGGACAAAGTGCTTATATTTAAAGCAAACAAGTAAAAGCAAAATCAAACATCAAGGTAGAGTATGTAGACTTCAGCTGCCACAATAAGGTATTTTTTTTAATTTAGCCTGACTTCAGTAAGCCTCCGTGCTTGCTTGCTTACTTTCTTCCCTCAACAAGAAGCAGTTCATGCTTTTGGCACTCAAAAACCATCTTTCTTGGCAGGACAACTCAAATGTTCGTGATGCCTTCTGTAGGAGTAAAAAGCGTTTACTTTGTCCACGTTGTACATTTTAGCTCTATAAAAACCTTCAAATGAATGTGTTTTATTAAACATTTCAGACTGTCATTTTAAAATCTACCTATAAGCAGATTGTTCTGTTTAGCTTCAGCGTGCCCTTACCTGGATTTAACCACTGCTGATTTGCATATAAGCCCATTCATAAGCCTGAAAGCATTTTGAAGAAACCAGAAAAAAGTGGGGGGGGGGGACTGTTAATGTTGGTTGCAGCTCAGGAGCAAGAGAGGGAAACTTCAGACTTTTTTTGTAAAACAAGTTGTATGGAGAGAGCTTACATAACGGCAATAAATTGTGAGAATTTTATCTTGTGACGTAAAGTGAGCACTTTATTAAACTGGGGCACAGACAATTGTCCAAATGTAGCAAAATTCATTTTCCGAAGCAAACCATTTGAGTGTATTATGTTTCATTTGGTCCTCATGTTTTGTAAAATCAGACGTATCGTCTCTTAAAACATGGTCAGTGGAGCTACAGATCAGCAAATTTTAGCCAAGTATAGTAGTAGCCAACATTTCGAGCTGTAAAATCCAGGCCTCCTACGATGATGCTGTACCTCCTATGTGAAGATATTTAGAATTGCAACCTTAGATTGCTTGCCAGCATTCTGACAAGTGGTATCCGACTTACAGTGAGTGACCCTAATGGGGTTTTCAAGGCATGTGAGATATTTAAGGGGTGGTTGTAGCAGTGCCACCATCATCCCTTCACCCATGAATTTCCCTGGCTAAACAGGGATGTGAACCTGTTCTCCCAAGTCTATCCGTAACACCACACTGTAACCACAGGCGGCAAGAAGCGATTTCCTTTATTGTATGCAAAGTAAACCAGCTTTCTTGTTTTTCAGATAAATGTTAGAAATGTGTACCTTACAAAGGGATGGGTTGGCAACTGTGAACTGGAAGACAGACAGGGTTTATAGACTTTTAGAAACCCAGCATGCCTGGGGGCAACTACAAGTGGAGACCAGTAAGCTAAATGTTCTTTCTCTGCTCTTTTTGTCATAGGATTCTTGACTGTTTCAGTGGAGAAAAATATATATAAAATTCTCACCCTGCCAAATTGAGACACCGGCTTTCATGAGCATCCAACATGGGATGAGTAACAAACTCTTTTGTCCTTGTCTGCAGAGACCATGTATTGTGAAGGCTGGCTAGCTCTGCAGTGGAGGAAAAGGGAACACCATGTGCTTTGTCAGTAGCATTTTCAAAGTGTGTCCACCAAATGGATTTGGCAGGCTTCTGTTTTCACTCAGATCTGCTAGCAGCCTGGACTAAGGCATGTTGACTGAAAAGGCCTACTGAGTTCTACATGCAGAGAAAGTCCAGCTTCAGTCCAGCAGTCCAGTCCAGCATGGGCAGCCATTAACATGGTCATTTTTACACTCTTTCTAACCACCTGCAAGCCTCATGAAAGGGAAGAATCATGCTAGATATGCAACTCTCCCAGAAATCTGGCTTCTCTAAAAACAACATTTTAGAAGAAAATAGTACCCCTCTTTTATAAAAAAAATTGTGTGTAGAGGGGCAGGTGGGTGGAATGATAGCATTGTTATACTTGTCTTTTGTATGGTTTTCATGGAAGATTAGCCCATTACCAAATAATTTATCTGCCTCACAGGAGTTACTGGTCGTCTTTCCTTCCTTCCTTTCCTTCCTTCCACATGTTGCATAAGAATTGACAATTTCTCTCTTCACTGCCCAAATTACTACTACTCAGTAAAACACAGAAGATCAGCTTGAGACAACAGCTCTTTCTGCTGTTCAGCTAAATCACAGGAAATACTTCAGAGGTGGAATGATTTGCCATGTACTACTGTACAAGTTACCTCTAGTTGCTAGTTGTGTGAACTGTGTTTATTGCAGGCCTCCATAGTTTTGCCAAATAGGGAATTTGGAAGAACTGGCCGGAATAGATTTCTTACCTTCTCTATGGTCACAGAGCCTCAGTAACTCTTCTATTTAGCATTTAAAAACCATAGGTTTTCTAGGGCATGCCCTGAGCGGCTTTTTGCTGGGACCCCTAACAGCCTGGAAAAAGGGGAATACTGTTGCTGACTTCCGACTTTGCTGAGGCAGTCACATTTTCTCCAAGAAGGGCAGAGAAAGTTTTCAGAGTACACATGCAGCTGCAGAGTGAGAGAAAATTTGGGAAAGGGTGGCCTTCAGCTCAATCTCAATCCTTGAATCAAATGCCCTCTGTGGGTGGGAAAAGCCTTCCCACCTCTAGCAGGCAAATTTTGGTTCCAAAGTTTTGTTTCAGGCATAACCAAGTTTTAAATATTTCTCTTCAGTTTTCATATCTCATCTGGCTTTTGCCACCAGACAGGAGTGTGTGTGTGCGTGCGTGCGTGTGCGCGCGCACACACACGTGCCCCGATGATTTTACCTAAAGCTTATTTCATTAGAAGATGGGTGCTCTCTATTAGTACAGTATCCAGTGCATCTGTGAAATGACTTCCTATTCCAGCATTTTCATATTATATATCTGTTCAAGACATGGAATTGAAAAACAAAGGGTTCTCAGGATATCCTAAATGGTCCCCTGTGGATTTGTCTATAAACCATTTCACAGTAGGCGACGTGAGAAAAATATGCTGCTCCCTTGGAAACGGGCGGGTGGCTTTGACGGGAGTTTATACTCACAGCTCCACACAATCTGCATTGCTTGGAATAAATCACCAGGTTAAGTTGCCCCACATAAATTAAGAGAGTCAATTTCTGTTTATTTTGCACAACGTAACACCGCTTCAGTTTGGAAGGAACCATGTAATGCAGTTCTGACACCCAAACAGGGCTTTCAAGGTAAGTGAGATGTTTAAGAAATTGTTTTATCCTAGTGAGTTTCCATGGTTGAGTAGGGATTTGAACACAGGCCTCCTGAGTCCTAGTCCATCACTCTATCCACTACCCCACACTGCCTATACCAGTTCAGTAATCCGATTGCTGACTGGTGATGTTTTATGGATTTCTGCTTTCCCCTGCTTAAGCAGCCACGTGGATGATAGGCTCCCCTGCTGTCCCCCAAGTTCTTACCAATTGGTGCTCATGTGCTTCATGCTGACGGCAGGCTTTTCGTGCTTGCATAAAAGCATGGGATGCATTGGCTCTAAACCCCGCCAGCATCACTTTGTGAACAGATTATTTGCCTGAAATAAATCACCAGCCTCAAAGTCAAGTGTTTCTGAATGCTGAGCATTTCTTTGTAAAGTTGAGGACTTGCTCATCCTGACAATCCTTACTAGAAAATTATTTTGGGTCCTTTCCATTGTCCTCTGCTAAGCCGGTTCATGATTTCAGCTGAGGCGACATAGAGACCCAAATTGCAATTGGAATGCAAAGATCTGTACAGGGGAAGAGAAGCTCCTGACATGAACCAATTCAGATGGCGGGTGTGGTGGCTTGACCTGCAGAATGAATGGTCTGAGCGCTTCTTTCCTAGTGATCTTTTGTCTTCCTAGAAATGGAAGGAGAACATCCTCCACTAGATGGCGCTGTATAGTTTGATCTGCTTTACTTGGCAGGGAGGCAGCCATCAAGAAAGGCGGTGCGTGTGTGGTGTGTGTTTTCTTAAGAAACCTAAGCTCTGAGTTTTAATCTGCATTGGTGGAGTCTTGGAATATACGGTTTTAAGGGATTTGAAGTGCAGTCCAGTCATTATTTTTCAGAGGAGAGCAGTGTTAATGAGCAGGGCACTGTTTCGCTGAATGCTGGTGAACTGTGGCTTTTATTTCGGTTTAATTAATGCATCATGTAAGGACAAAGGTTGGGTCTTCATTAACAAGCAGTGGGTTTCTACAATCCAAGGTTCTTGGACCTGGCTGGTTTTATTTTATTTTTTAAAATTTTATTTAGAGGACAGATAGTTTTAAGTTTAACAGGTTTCCATTAGCTGAAGTTAAAGAGCCATGAATTTTTCAAATGAGACATACAGTATTCCAGAAAGGGTAAGTTAAAGCTCCCTCTGTGTGCTGTCTTGGTAAAACAAAACTGAGCTAAAGTGTGCTAACAAGCTTGGCAGCTATCCTCCTAGTAGGGCTGTATTAAATGAATTATTTTTTTCTCTGAGCTTTAACAACCCAGCTTTACCACCATAAAGCTGAATGGAATATGTTAGTACCTTTCCTATGTTTCCAGGTAAATGTGGAGACCGGACTTAATGATTCAATTTTGTCAGCCCCCATGAATCCTGCAAGCAGGGTAGCTGAGGCTGTTATAAAGCAAACAGGACCTTGGCCCGAAATGTTGAGTTGGAGATGGCCTGAGTATAATGGGGGTGGCCACCATAGTTAAGTGAAAAATAAATGCAGTTCCTTGTAAGTAGTAAATAAATAGGCTGTGCATGGGAATAAGTGGGTATATATATAAATTTAATATTGACATGTATTGCAAGACAAGAGCAGATTGTCAAGATCAACGATCTGCCCATAATTTGTCAGGGAAAGCGAAAGGGACATTTGAGCGGTTATGCTTCCATGTTCTCCCAACCCTATGGCTGAAGCCCTGGTGCTTCCATTCTGCTTTAAATATAATGTACTTACTTGAAAATGAGACTATGATCCTGCACCCAAATGAGTATATAGATCACTGTTGGTATGGTATGGTTTTGTTGTTTAGTCATTCAGTCGTGCCCAACTCTTTGTGGCCCCATGGACCAGAGCGCGCCAAGCCCTCCTGTCATCCACTGCCTCCCGGAGTTTAGTCAAATTCATATTGGTAGCTTCGATAACACTGTCCAGCCATCTCGTTCTCTGTCGTCCCCTTCTCCTCTTGCCTTCACACTTTCCCAACAGCAGGATCTTTTCCAGGGAGTCTTCTTATGAGATGGCCAAATTATTGGAGCCTCAGTTTCAGGATCTGTCCTTCCAGTGAGCACTCAGGGTTGATTTCCTTTAGAATGGATAGGTTTGATCTCCTTGCAGTCCAGGGGACTCTCAAGAGCCTCCTCCAGCACCACAATTCAAAAGCATCAATTCTTCAGCAGTCAGCCTTCTTTATGGTCCAGCTCTCGCTTCCATACATTGCTACTGGAAAAACCATAGCTTTGACTATGCAGACCTTTGTTGGCAAGATGATGTCTCTACTTTTTAAGATGCTGTTGAGGTTTGTCATCGCTTTCCTCCCAAGGAACATGATATGGTTTGGTTTGGACCAAATGAGGGCATCCACCCATGTTGCTACTTAGATCAATTCATTCCTGCCCTTTTAAGAGCTGCCCTGCTCCTTTCTGGCACACCTTCTGGTTTTTTTGTCAGTGTTTGTTTTAGGGTTGTTGTAGTTTTTGCAAGGTTCGACATGCTTCTAGTTATCCCTTTGTGTAGCCTGTGTGGATGTTTATTTCACAGCCCAATGG